GGGCCCATACAAGTCTATGTAGGGGTGAAAGGCATTCAAAGCCCATGGACCCCTTATGCCTGTGCCTAGGCAAAAGAGTTGTGCCTACCCTGAGTTCCTGGCTTAGGGGAGCTGGCAGATTATTTTTTCCGTGTTTGTTAATTTGTTCCCTCTCCAAGGCCAGGAGAATGGCTCAGGGTGTGTGATGGGTAGTACTTCTGGCCCAGGGGACACAGCAATTGCTGAAGCCAGCCTGGAACTCAGTGCAGAGCAGGGAACGGGGAGGTAAATAGGAGGGAGGTTTTTCCCAAAGGGGGTGTTATTTGATCCACACAGTAGGCCGGACACAGGTACTGAGTGCTGCTTCTCACTGGTTCTGGATGCCCGAGTAGACTCTCCACCGCTGGGTCTCTCCCGATGTGGAAAATGCCTCCTGAGCAGCACTGCTTGCCTCACTGTGCATGTGAGCTGATCCGGCCTGAAGGATGCTGGCTCCCACTGGGTCAGGTCTGGCAATTCCTCGCTGCTTCCGAACCGTCTCTCCCACCCCCCTCAGTCCGATTCCTCAACTTTGCCTTTGATGTCCAGGGCTCCTAGATTGTCATATATAATGAATTCACTTGTTTTTTTGGTCTTTGTTGTAAGAGGGACCACAGGAAGTGTCCGTCTACTCCACCATCTTGGTCCCGCCTCTTGCAACAAATTTCTTAAAGAAGGTTCCCAGAAGCCACCACACAACATTGCCACTTCTGTCCCATTGTCTAGAATTTAGTCATAAGGCCACACTTAGCTGACGAGGAGGCTGGAAAATGTCATCTTTATTCTGGGTGGTCATGTACTCAGCTAAAATAGAGTTCTATCATTAATGAAAGGGGAAGAACAAATATTGGAGGCCTCTGGAAGTTTCTGCCATGCCTCTATTTCTCTTCTTTGTAATGGTTTGTGTAAGGTGATGATAATATCATCTGGAAATGTAAACCATCCCATCTTGTTTTTTTCAGGGAGGCTGGAAGATATTAGCTGGCTTAACCCTCACAACAACTCTTAAAGGAAGGTGGTATTACCTCTGCTTTCATGGATGGGGACAAATGAGATTCAGAGTGGTTAAGGAATAAACTCAAGGTCACACAATGACCTAACTGGAGAGCTGGGATTCACACTTAGTTCCATCTTCCATAGTCTGCAATTTTCACTGTACCAAATCCTGCTTTATCAAAGTCAAAGATTAGAAGCACGTCACCCTCTGAGACCTCAGATCATTCTGCATCCCTCAGCTAAAGAGAAATCCCACCACAGCAGAAGGCTGATATAGCCTCAGAAGGATCTATTTTTCTAAAGCCATCAAGTATCTCCAAGTCTCCCCAACAGCCTCATCAAGGATACCTGTCCAATTCTGGCCAAGGAATCTCATCTCAATTCTAAGCCCCTAATGAAGATGTTTCTTTTCCTTCTGATTTGTTGCAGTAAAACAAGGAAAGAATTATGGAGAGTATAATACAGAGGATGGAGCACTGGAGGTGGAGTTGGGGCACTTGAATTCTAGTCTCAGCTCTTACACTGCCATCTGTTTGGCTTGAGAAGTCATCTTTCCCTCCCTAAACCTGACTGTCATCAACTTCAAGTTGGAGTGTTAGAGACAAGCTTCTTTAAGATTTCATCTAGCTCTAAGGTGCTAAATTATACGTAAATTGAGACCATTGATTATGATATTATAATGCTATATTAATAACATATTACATTTATATACTGTGATGGTTAAGATTGTGTGTCAACTTGGTTGGGCCATGATTCTCAGTGTTTTGGCAGTCATATAATGTGATCACTTCCCTGTTGAGATTTGATACATGATCATCCCCATGATGCGCTCTGCAGTGAGCAGCCAATCAGTTGAAGGGAGTTTCCTTGGGAGTGTGGCCTGCATTGAGTGTGGGCGGATGTTCAGGCAGGGCTTGAGGGCTTTTACTTGTTCTGGATCCTGCAGCTGGCTCCTGTTTGTCTGACCTCTAGTTCTTGGGACTTGAACTAGCAGCTTACCTGCAGTCTTGCCTGCCAATCTTGGGATTCATTGATCTTTGCAGCCTGTGAACAAGAGCCCTGCTCTGTGGCCTGCTGATCTTAGGTTCGCCAGCCCCTGCGGCTGCGTGAATCAGGAGAAGCCTATTTTCTGACCCATGGACTTGGGATGTTATAGTGTCTACAGCCACATGAGCCATTTTCTTGATATAAATCTCTCTCTGTATGTATATATTTATATGCTTTACTGGTTTTGCTTCTCTAGAGAACCCAACCTTAAGACATATACCATAATACAGTTCATAATATCCTTTTCACCCTTGATCTCAATAACAACTTTGTGAGTTATATAGAGCAGTTATAATACATAATTTATAGTTAAATATAGATGGTATTTTTGTAGTCATTTCTACAAAAAATACAGCAAGGAAAGAGTGGACTAGACACTAAGCTTTGTTGAGTGCCTACTGTGTGCTAGGCTTGAGGTATCATTGTTTCTATGGAAAAATTAGATCTAATTTATAACTCTGTCAACTATTCCAGAACCATATATGACTGAATTTGTGACGATTCCCTGTGTTATTCATTTATCAATGTTTAAGCCCATGATGTATACAGCCTGGTAGGGGCCATTCAGGTTATAGAGAACTGTACAGGAACTAGCATCCATGCAGGAGTGCAGATGAGACATTCACCTATTAGAGACAATCAATCACATACATTAGTGGAGGTGAAAGATAACTTGGATGATCCAACATTGGGGAACAGGTGATATTCCAGCTGATCAATTTAGACTCCAGTCATTGAAATTTGTGATAATTTCGACAAGAGTATAATTAGGACTATAGAAACGGTTAAGTGCTTGACTACTAACCAAAAGCTTGGCAGTTAGAACCTTCCCAGAGCTTCCTCTGAAGGTAGGCCCGGCAATCTGCTTCTGAGAGGTCACAGACTTAAAAACCCTATGCAGCAGTTCTATTCTACACACATGGGGTTGCCGTGAGTCAGTTAATAACAACAGAATTAGGACTATAATCTCAGGAACCCCAATATATCTGTGTGGAAAAGGTCATGGCACATTTATAATTGAGAATCCACCCTCCAAGGCAGAAGCTAATAAAGACTCACACACTGTGGGTAAGATTCACTATCTATAGGACATCTTCCCATGAGTAACCTATCCTATAAATTAGGGAACAATGAAATTATGAGAGTGCAGCATCTTATCAGAAATCCATCAGCCTAGGAAGTGTTTGGTAAAAAAGATGAGTTGAATCTTTGGTCATGTTTTAAGACATGATCCAAGACGCTCAAAGGTGATAACAAAAATGAACGCACAAAGAGAAATGTGGTGGGTCTCATTCAGGCTTCCCTAGGATAGGTCAAGAGGATGTTCTGTCCAGGATCTGTATCCCTGCAGAGGAGTTGGGTGCAGTGGTTGACCTCGTTCTAGGACAAGCCATCACAGAATAGTCATCACTTCAGCATATCACGTCTTTTACTTAGGTGCACACTCACTTAGTGGCGGGCTTCCTGGTTCAGTGATAGGGAAGGGGCCTGCCTATGATCACAGGCATCCTGCTCTTTCTTACTGGTCTCCCACAGGAGAAGAATGAATTGGCCTTTTGATTTTAAATCAGTCCCGAGTGAGCTGAATGACCTGGAACTACCTCTGTCTGAATTGTCCAGGCCCTAGGCAATGGTGACAACACCACATGACTCACTCTGAAAAGTGTCTCTCAATGGCTGTTATCAGCATTTTCAGAGAGGGCAGCAATTCTTTGTTATGTAATATTGTCCAATATATGCAGGACGCTTAGCATCCCTGGACTCCAAGTGCTGAAAGCCATTACTACTTCTTGGTCATTGTGACAACCCCATAAGTATGCACCCCTGTCCCTGTATTTTCAAATTAGCAACGCCCCCAACCCAACCCAAGGTAGGTTGCTATGAGTCAGAATCGGCTCGGCAACAGGTTTTTTTTTTTTTTTTTTAACCCAAGGTAGGTAGGATTCCTCCCCTACCCCCCGCCCCCTACTCCCCACCTTGTTTGAGAGGTTTGAGAGTCAGTGTCAAAGAAACTATTGCTAGCTGGGGAGTCAGATCTGTAAAAAATAAAATTGTTTCAATATAATAAGGCATGGAGCTCAGGTTCCCGAGGATTCTCCTCCATACGTTCAGTACTTATGGATTTCACAGGGAGCCCTTAGAATTCATCATTTTGGAAGACTTGTGGATTATACCTCAACATAAAGAAAACAAAAATCCTCACAACTGGACCAATAAGCAACATTATGATAAATGGAGAAAAGACTGATGCTGTCAAGGATTTCATTTTACTTGGGTCCACAGTCAACGCCCACGGAAGCAGCAGTCAGGAAATCAAACGATGTATTGCATTGGGCAAATCTGCTTCAACAGACCTCTTTAAAGTGTTAAAAAGCAAAGACGTCACTTTGAGGACTGAGGTGTGCCTGATCCAAACCATGGTGTTTTCAATCACCTTATACGCATGTGAAAGCTGGACAATGAATAAGGAAGATTGAAGAATTGATGCCTTTGAATTGTGGTGTTGGTGAAGAACACTGAATATACCATAGACTGCCAGAAGAATGAGCAAGTCTGTCTTGGAAGAAATATAGCCAGAGCGCTCCTTGGAAGTGAGGATGGTGAGACTCAGGTACTTTGGACATGTTATTTGGAGGGACCAGTCTCTGGAGAAGGACATCACGCTTCATGAAGCAGAGGGTCAGTGAAAAAAAGGAAGACCCTCAACGAGATGGACTGACACAGTGGCTGCAACAATGGGCTCAAACATAGCAATGACTGTGAGATGGCACAAGACTTGGCAGTGTTTCGTTCTGTTGTACATAGGGTCACTATGAGTCAGAACCAACTTGATGGCACCTAGCAACAACAACAGTGGCGAAGCCCAAGACCTTCCCAACGCCCAGCACAGTTTCCTGCCCACAGCAGAGGCATCTGGTGTTCTGATGGACAGCACATACCTCTCTGGAGAACCCACTCCACAGGATTTTCTCGTCATTGATGAAAAGCCTTTCTCCCTTCTTGGCATAGACATTATAATACCCAACTTCCTTAAACACGATGGAGCCGTCCTCGGGGGAGAGGTGCCAGTTAATGATGGAATAGTTCCCCACCAGGTCACCACACTCATCGAAAGTCACCTGCTCCCCCATATTGTTGGTGAAGTTTAGGTGCCGCAGGTGCTTCAGTACCTAAAGAGGAACAGAGATGAATGTTGTGAGTGCAAGCCACAGGGCTGCCACGTACGGTTATGCAGGTTGTGCACTGCCCAAGGACAGCGCACTCTCATGTTCTAACAAAATCAGTATATTACAACAATTTCCTGGCAGATGGAAGGAAAGTGACTTGAGGAAGAGACACCTTTTTCTAATTCACACAAAGGCACTAGAGTGTGTTAGCGGCAGCCCTGGAAACCATACCAGTACCAACCTCTACTTGGCACTCACATCGTAACTGGGGGTAGTAAACACTTTCTTGAGGTTGGAAAAGGAAAAGGGATATATCTCACCATGGCTACTGGCCAAGTCAAAGCTTTTGCAGCTGCACCATCACCTTGGGGTGCCCCAGGAGGAGCGGAGTTTGTAAGCCAGAGCCCATTCCTGATGCCTTCTGAGATGGACACTGGGGAAAGAGCGGAGGTACTGATAACTGCTTCTGCTTCTGGGGAAGAGCCTTGCTGCCTCAAGTCACAGGAAACGGGTGACAGAAAGAGACAAACGAGACTGTGGGTGTAACACTGGCCATCACTGTTGCAATAGCCATGGTAAATCCCTTATTTATTTCTTTACAAGGTTTTATGGGTCACAAGGCTGTTGTACAAAGAAGCAATGATAATAATTACTAAGACTTACTAGTCACTTCACTACATTTTAGGCACGGTGTTAAGGGCTTTATATTCATTATCTAATCTAATGCTTATAACAAACTTATCAGGTTGGTACTATTACCCCCATTTTTGTTTTGATGGGGAAACTGAGGCCCAGAAAACCTAAGTATCTGGTCCAGGGTCACCCAGCCAGCAAATGGTACAAAGCCTGCTCTCTTAACTGCTATGCTACATTGCAGCATTTTAAGTGCCTGGCACTGTGTCCTGTCATCAGTTAAGAGCTGGTCACAGGCACGAGGCAGCTTATCTTTAATGCCGGACCCCGTCCTGTGCCAGCTGTCACTGAGGCACCAAGTAAGACGTGACCCAGCCTGTGAGTGTAGGGTGCTCACTTCCACTGCCCCTCACCAGTCACTGGGCCTTATCACTCTGGCTCTGCGTGCATTTCCTCAGCCATGTGTGAGAGGCCAGGCCTGAGATCGGCAGGTCTCTCCCTGCTCTAATATTTACTCTTCTCTGTGCTGTGATTTGGTGCCCCAGGAGTACCTTTAGAGGCACTTTTCCTTTTTTATCATTTTTTTTCACATTTTTAATTGTATTTCTAAAAATTTATTGTGGTAAAATATATATAACATAACACTTGCCATTTTAACCAGTTTGAAGTGTGTAATTCAGGGATAATAATTACATTCATAATGTTGTATAGCCACCACCACTAATTATTTCTAAAACTCTGTCATCACCTCAAACAGAAATTCAGTTAACAATAACTTCCAATTCCCGGCCCGCCCCTAGCTCATGGGAACCACTAAAAAACTTTCTGTCTCTATGTATTTCCCTATTCTAGATATATTTCATGGAAGTGGGATCATACAATATTATTATTATATTTAAGGTACATAAAACCAACATCAAATCAGACACTGGGAAAAAGTTGAGCTTGAGTTCATCTAAAGAATGACCTTACTAGGCCTGCATGAGGCCAAGGGCCAGGCCCTATTAGCCACACTAACCGAAGGTGCATGACAAGCTAAGCCAACAGAGCCAGAACTCTGGGAGGCACCTTCCCACTCTTCCACTCTACTCTTCCTCCAGAGATCACAGGGACCTTTCACAATCTTTAACATTTATTTACAGTACGGAAAATTAAATCGGCAGAGGAAGCCATGTGAATTTACTCAAAACCATCTCTGGTGTGTGTGGGAGCAGAGTTTACAGCAGACCACGTGTGTTCACAGGGCAGGCAGAATGTGACCTCCAGTCCCTCCTAACCCCACTGAAGCTCCCTACCACAGCATGTATCTGCTTCTTCAAGGAAGGCAGTCTGTCCTCATCACTGCATTTGCCATACTCGCTAGACAGCTACCAGCCACACTTCTAACCATGTTTCACATGGGCAAAGAAGCACAAATACCTCTTCTACAGCTACAATATTTAGCTATTCCTTACTTACATGCACACGGTTTAGTCTCAGCTCTGCTGCTAACTAGCTGTGAGAACTCAAAGAAGGCACGTCACCTCTCCCAGCCTCAGTTTCCTTCATTAAAACCTAAGATACCCCCTGTTCTGGCTTTTCTGTAGGGTTGCTGTGCAGATCAAACAGACTCTTAATCTTAGCACTATTGACACTTTGGGCCAGATAATTCTTTGTCGGAGAGACGGTGGTTGTCCTATTCATTACAGGATGTTTAGCAGCATACCTGGCGTCTGCCCACTAGATGCCAGTGGTGTCTCCTGCACTTAGCTGAGACAACCCAAAATATCTCCAGACATTGCCAAATGTTCCCTGGGAGGCAAAATTCCTCCTCGTGAAGGCCTTGGCTGTACACTAAGGTAATGTGGTAGTACACAGAGATAGGTGTGCACCTACACGAATAACCTGTTTTCCTTCATATGCATTCTGCCACATTGGTGCGCTATTGTACTCCCTGGCTCTCTTCCTTTCTATGTCTCTCATCTCTTTGTCTTTCTTTGACTCTGACACACACACACACCCCCTCAGGATTCAGTGGAGAGAACAGAAAACCTACAGAATACCCATAGCGAAGAGAGTGCCCAAACCAAACTGCCTATGTGTTAATTCTTCCTAAAGTTCTTGTTAGGTGCCATCCAGTTGGTTCTGACTCATAGTGACCCTGTGTACAACAGAATGAAACGCCGCCTAGCCTGTGCCATCCTCATAATCGTTGATATGTTTGAGCCCACGGTTGCAGCCACTGTGTCAATCCATCTTATTGAGGGTCTTCCTTTTTTTCGCTGACCCTCTACTTTACCAAGTATGATGGCCTTCTCCAGGGACTGGTCCCTCCTGATAACATGTCCAAAGAATATGAGATGCCATCTTTGCTTCTAAGGAGCATTCTGGCTGTACTTCTTCCAAGGCAGATTTGTTCATTCTTCTGGCAGTCCACGGTATATTCAATATTCTTCACCAACACCATAATTCAAAGGCACCAATTCTTTGATTTTCCTTATTCATCGTCCAGCTTTCATATGCATATGAGGCAATTGAAGACATCATGGCTTGGGTCAGGGGCACCTTAGTCCTCAAGGTGACATCTTAGCTTTTTAACACTTTAAAGATGTCTTTTGCAGCAAATTTGCCCAATGTGATATGTCATTTGATTTTTTAAAATTTTTTTATTGTACTTTAGATGAAAGTTTACAAAACAAATAGTTTCTCATTGAACAGTTAGTACACATATTATTTTATGACAGTGGGTAACAACCCCACGACATGTCAACACTGTCCCTTCTCAGCCTTGGGTTCCCTATTACCAGCTTCCCTGTCCCCTTCTGCCTTCCAGTCCTTGTCCCTGGAATGTTGTGCCCCATTAGTCCCGTTTTGTTTTATGGGGCTGTCTAGTCTTTGGCTGAAAGGTGAACCTCGGGAGTGACTTCATTACTGAGCTAAAAGAGTGTCCGGGGGCCATACTCGGGGTTTCTCCAGTCTCTGTCAGGCCAGTAAGTCTGCTCTTTTTTTGTCAGTTAGAATTTTGTTCTACATTTTTCTCCAGCTCTGTCCGGGATCCTCCGTTGTGATCGCAGTCAGAGCAGTCAGTGGTGGTAGCCGGGCACCATCTAGCTGTACTGGACTGTCTGTTGGAGGCCGTGGTAGTTGTGGTCCGTTTGTCCTCTGGACTAATCTTTCCCTTGTATCTTGTTTTCTTCATTCTCCCTTGCTCCTGAAGGGGGTGAGGCCATCGGAGTATCTTAGATGGCTGCTCACAGGCTTTTAAGACCCCAGACACTACTAACCAAGGTAGAATATAGAACATTTTCTTTAAACTGTGCTATGCCAATTGAGCTAGATATTCCCCGAGACCATGGTCCCCACAGCCTTCAGCCCAGCAATTCAGTCCCTCAGGGAGTTTGGAAGTGTCTATGGAGCTTCCATGACCTTTCCTTGTACAAGTTGTGCTGGCTTTCCCAATATTGTGTACTGTTTTACCCTTTACCAAAGTTACCAGTTATCTATTGTCTATTTAGTATTTCCACCCCACCCCCACCCCTCCCATCCCTCGTAACCAACAAAGATTGTTTCTTTTTGTGTGTAAACTTTTTGAGTTTTTACAGTAGAGGTCTCATATAATATTTGTCCTTTTGTGATTGACTTATTTCACTCAGCATAATGCCCTCCAGTTTCATCCATGTTATGAGATGCTTCACAAATTGATCATTGCTCTTTCTCATTGCATAATACTCCATTGTGTGTATGTACCATAGTTTGTTTATCCATTCCTCTGTTGATGGGCATCTAGGTTGTTTCCATCTTTTTGCTACTGTGAACAATGCTGCAATGAACATAGGCATGCATATGTCTATTCGTGTGATGGCTCTTATTTCTCTAGGATATATTCCTAGGGGTGGGACTGCTGGATCATATGGTATTTCTATTTCAAGCTTTCTAAGGAAGCACCATATCATTTTCCAAAATGGTTGTATCATTTTGCATTCCCACTAGCAGTGCATAACAGTTCCTATCTCCCCACAGCCTCTCCAACATTTGTTATTTCCAGTGATGTTGGGGTGAGATGGTATCTTGTTGCAGTTTTAATTTGCATTTCTCTAATGGCTAGTGTCTTAGTCATCTAGTGTTGCTA